GTGGCAGTGGGAGAAGAAAAGGCTTTAGGTGGACTGTTCACATCAGCCTGCCTGGAGGAGGTGACGTTTGTGGAAGCTCTTCGAACTTGAGTTGGATCCAAACTGATGGTTATAGTTTGGAAGCCCCAAGTTTTCTAGTATCTAACTACCCTAGACCTTGAAGTAGTTTCTTTTTAAAGTTCTCTTTACTGTCTGGCGCCGGAACAGATTAACTGCAAAGAAGGGTAGAAAGAAGTGCTTAAAACCTTTTCTGGCCTAATCAGAAGGTTCTAGGTAAGCTGTTGAGTACAATACAGACAATGTGTCATTTTTTTCCTCTGCCACAAATTTGGCTTAAACAGTTAATAAAAAGATAAGTATTATTAGAGCAGATAGTTATGCTGTCAGTCTTATAACGTCTATGTACAATAAAGTGGGGCATTTAAGGAATTCTTTAATAAGTAACTGTTCAGTATGGAGATGCTAAAGGAACAGATAAGCTGTGATTGTTGTAGGGAACAGACAGGCTTGTCAGCACAGATAAGACACAATTCCTGCCTCAGGAGATTACAATTGCAAGACTATTTGTGGTCCATCCTGAGCTAGCTGGATGTTTAGAGAAAATTGCTCAACCTTTTAGGATCCTGAAATGCAATATAATTTAACCTCCTTTAATCCTCCTGCATAGGAAGAAGAGTAGCCGTTGAAGGATTAGTATGTTTGCCCTCCCCTGCACTGTACATGTAGATTAAGACAGGCTTGGTCTTTGCAAAGCACCCATCGGTGTTGTTGTGAAGTGGATTGCCTCATTAGTTAAGCAAGCATATGTATTACCAAGACTTTGAAAACAAATTATGACAACAATGATCTGTTTCCCAGAATATTTCTGAAATTGTGACAGGGTTTTTCACTTGCTCAGCTGCAAGCCAGGGGTTTTAGTAAAATGGTAAATGATTGCCTGTGATAATAGGTTGTGAAACTTGGAACACCATGCAAGGAGGAAGGCAACTTAACTGGTTGTTGGAAGTCTTTCCCATCACTTCTACCGTTGTACAATTCAGGGCTGTGACACGAGGGGAAGGTGACCATGGTTATACTTCAGTCTCCTCCCTTTTTGACCTTACTGTTTAATCCTCCCTGGCCATCTTAAGCTTTTCCTTGCTTTCACTGTTGCAACATGGGAAGAGTGGACGTAATGTAGTGAAGGGAGATGTGGTAGGAAGCAAGAAATGAAGATGGGCGTAGAGGAGAATTAGCGTGTCAAATGAGTAATTAATTTATTGCATGGGAAATTAGCTTATTTGTGCTCTTTTTAAGCACTTAAATTAGACCTACATTTTTCTAATTCCAGGCTTCAGCGTGAGGAGGAAGAAGCATATGCCAGTAGTCAGAGTACCCAAGGGGCACAGTCACTGACCTTTTCAAAATTTGAAGAAAAGAAAACCAATGAGAAAACACGAAAGGTCACCACTGTGAAGAAGTTCTTCACTGCTTCTTCCAGAACAGGAGCTAAGAAGGGTAACTTTCTCCGTTGCTTCTAATGGTTCTGTACATGTTAAGTTAAAAAGTATTTCTGCTGGATGTATTGTACTAAAAGGCAGAGCAGTGCTCTGTGACTCGACTTTAAAAAGTTGGAATAATGACAGTTGTAGAGAGCGATTGCTATATGTGAAGCCTTACTGAAGACACAGAAAAACATGAGCTTTTGGGTGGTGCCAAACAATCTTTTAAATAGAACAGTGCGCTTCTAAACTCGTGGCCATGTTTGTGTTAGGTATGCGGGAGTTTTTCCACTGAAGTGTAGTACAATCCTGTTCCTAGTGGTGGTCTGCCACTGCGCTGCTGAGTGGAAGTATCTTGTTCGTATGATGCTGTTGTGGTTTAACCCCAGCTGGCAACTAAGCACCACCCCTGCCCTTGCCCTGGGGTGAGGAGGAGAATTGAAGGGGGGGGGAGGGAGTAAAACTTGTGGATTGAGATAAGAACAATTTAATAACTGAAATGTAGTAATAACAACAGTTGTAATGCAAAGGAAGGTAACCAAAAGAGAGGGAAATAAAACCAAAGGGAAAAAAAAAAAAAAAGAGTAATGCACAGCGCAGTTGCTCGCCGATGCCTAGCCTGTCCCTGAGCAGCAGTCGCCCCTGCCTGGCCAACTCCCCCCTGGTTTATATACTGAGCATGACGTCCTATGGTATGGAACATCCCTTTGGGTGGTTTGGGTCAGCTGTCCTGGCTGTGCTTCCCTCCCAAGTTCTTGTACACCTCCTTGTTGGCAAAGAGTGGGAAACTGAAAAGTCCTTGACTTGGGATAACGCTACTTAGCAATAACTAAAACATCGGCGTGTTATCAACGTTATTCTTGTACTAAATCCAAACCACAGCACTGTACCAGCTACTAGGAAGAAAATTAACTCTATCCCAGCCAAAACAAGGACAGATGCACGTTCTTGCTAGATTCATGAGTCAACCATAGTGTGATCCTGTGGTCTAGGGCTCGAAGGGAGACTCTTCCTGAAGAAAGCGGGAGAAAAGGTAGTGGCTGTCAGTCATCTCGAACTGATATGTCTAAGTGTGATAGAAATGCTGATGTAAATGTCAGATGATGCTGCCATCGTGGAACACTTCCAACAGCTTTAACAGAAAATATGGAATGTGCAAGCAGGGTGCCTTTAAATGAAAATAAATGTGAAAGGGATCGTGTAGTGTTTATGTGGGCTGTGAATATCAAGTTTGTGGTTGGCTGAATGTTTTTTCTACAGCATGTGTTACAAGTAAGAATGATTAATGGCACTGATGTCTTAGCATAGCAATAGCTTACATGGGCAAAACCTGGGAAATGCTAGACTGTGGAGGAGACATTCCAGAAGAAAAAGCAACATTAGTGTATCTTTGCCTTATAGATGATGCATTTCCTTAATAAGAATTTCTAGCTATGTCTGGATTTCATCTTAGAATTTGTCTTGGTGCATGGGCAGCAGCTGGCTAAATGAGGCACTCGGCTATGTATTAAGAACTTTTTTTACGTTCATTCTTCTCACTTTCCATATTTTCTTTTTTTATCCCATTCACCATCTCTCCTGACATGCTCCCGCTCTTGGTGTCTTGCTTGCTTTTGCATTTATTTCAGTGGCTCAAGAGAAAATCGTTAAGCAAGGACAGCTTGGGAGGGAGCGAAATGCTGATAACATTCTCAGGGATTTGAAGGAGATTTTTACTCCCTCCTGGGAACTGGCTTCCCCTACTGAAGGTAATGCAGTACAGCTTGAGCAAGCTGTCTGCTTGATTTTTAGCAAGCTTATTTCTTAGCTGGGCTTTGCAAAACACAAACTAGGGTTGTGCCAGTTATAACTTGTGCTGTTGAATATGAAGATGACAAAAAAAGCTAAGTCTAACATCTCAAAGTGAGCTTGAATCTCTAAAGTAATTCTTTGCTTTTTGGTAGGGAGTGTATATGAATAAAGCTTCTTTGGGCTTTACCTTAGCGTGACATCTGAAAGATAATGCAGTTACAAAAAAATTAAGAATTTTGTAAGAAGTAGCTGATCTTGTGCTGCTTCATATTTTTATCAAAAAATAATTCCAGGTTGTCGTTATAAATCTGATTATAAGTTGAAACTACTTCAGTTTAATAGTTTACATTCCAAGAACTTTTGCATTCTCAAACCATCTCCGGATGTTTGTTACATTAGTCAAGACGACAATTTCATATCAAAAGAAATGCTGCTTTCATTTAAGCCAAAAGGACACCAAACCCTTGATGCAAACAGCTTTAGGATCTTGTCCTATGTTATTTGTGTGCAATTCTGATGTGTTCTGCTGACTAAAGAAATTTGAAGATGTACCATTCTTTATTTTGTAAATTATATGAAGATGAGGAGCAGGTGTGTGTAGTACAGCGAATGACAGCGCTATTTGTATATTCTTCGCTTGGACTTAGATCCATGACCATGGCACAACCATAGTGAATCACTGGAGTGCTAATGTTCTGCTGTGACAACTAGAATTTTTGTAGAATGCCTTGAGAAAGATTTTAATAGTGTTTATTCTTTGTAAAGGCTATCCTTTCTTAACTCTTCCCACATTCCTCCTTTTAATTTTGGCATATCTCCTCTGCTAGGTTCTCTTTAACTTGTTCAAAAGGAATTTCTTTTCTGTAATCAGCTTCCTTTTAGTTAGAGCTAATTCTTTTAGAGTTCGTGACAAAGCTGAAAATACTTTGTTGCTGAAAGTACTTTTGTTGCTGCAGTTCTTAGTAATCAGTGCGTATTGTACAGGTTCGTTTTCCTTAAATCAGGATTTCAACACCGAGATTAATGAAGCTGTGACATTTCTGAGTGACTACATGACACACAGTTCTTGGTGCGACTTATTAAAAAGACAGTTCATTCTAACATTCGATTTTTTTTTTAATGTCTACATTAACTGTAATCTGCCTCAGTTGTCTACATCTCTCTAGTAACTAAAAAATTACCCATTTTAAATTTTACCCATTTAAATCGTATTCCTTAATGTCAAATAGTGGAATAAGGCTCATGATTTTTCTCATACAGTGAGCTCAGTGTTGAAATAAGTAAATAAATCTTTGGCTGTTCCTTGAGATTAAGCCAGTAATTAACTGTGGGGAAAATATCTTGTAATTCTGCCCTTTCGAAAGCGGACCTGCTTTCCTTGCTTGTTATTGCAAAACTATGCTCTGTACTTACTTGTTATGTAATACTAAATGTGACAAATTTAGATCAACACAGAGTAATGGTAGCTGTTTGGCTTGGGTACTGTGCGGGCATTCTACTTTGAGTCTTAGGTATAAAGAACGTTGGAGAAAATCCCCTCTGGAAAAAGTGTGCTTGTGTAACTAGAGAGATTGATTTGCACTTTCCATCTTGATTGCTGCAGCTGGAACTTAAATATTTGCAAAACCTTTTCCATTCTTATCGCTTAAATACCATAAATGGTACCTGGCCAAATTATTATCCAGAGAAGGTTATGCTGGAGTGCAGAGTCTTGTGCTTTGGTCAGATGTGCAGTGTTGTTCATGCAGCTTTGGATTTACTATAGTGCTGTATCTCTTCAAAAGCAAATAACAACAAACCAAAAACAACCCCAATGAGCTACCTCAACTCTAAACCATACCAACTTAAATGTATTAATCCCGTTTATTTCCTTTTATTTTTTGTGTTCTGCATGTATGCTTACTGAAACAAGAGGGTTTTTTGTTGTGCATGTTAGTGTTTTCAGATTCAAAGATATGTTTGTATCATGTTGACCATGAATATTTTCATGTTTTCTGTCTCTTTGCTGCTTGCTTTTCATCATGTTCATTTAAATCATCTCTATTCAATCCTTCATTTTGAACAGTATTGGCTGGCAAGTTGAAAGGTGGGTGAACTAAACTTGGGTAGTGAAGCTATTGGATCACTACAGTTAACTTGCAACGTATACCTTGGAAAAATCAGATGTGTGTGTGTGTGTAAAACCCCTGTGGCTGCAGCTGTATAAACTTGCATCCAGTGCTGTGTGCAATCTGTGTTCCTACCTCCTTCTTGAGTGCCAAGCAAATTCTTCCTTGAACAGGCGTGGTGCTTCTGCTCTTGCTGAAACACAAATGGCCAAGTTCTCATTTACACCGCGGGTGTGACTCTGTGGCATCTGCTGCGTTTGCACTGACCTCATGCTCCCATTCCTTGTCTTGTGCGGCTGCTCCTGTGACCTGTTGGGAAACCAGCTTGGGGACCCGATCGAGCTGGAAAATAACCCCATAAGAAACACTGATTTCTGACTAGGGCTGCCCTGAACTGCTCCTCCCTGAGCTAGTTCATGAGCCAGTTGAGTGAATACTTGTGTTGGTGCAAGCAAAGGAGCAGGAGTGTAAAGGTGAGGGAGAATGGAAAAGGGACCATTCCATTATCTTAAACTGCTGCAGAATCCCATCTGGAAGCCTTGATCTTGTATGGAGACATCTTACCTGGGACTGAAAATGTAAGAAACCCGAAGGCAAACCCATGATACAGTCATTTGCTGATATAAAAAGGCCATTTGTGTAAATGGGGATGTGGCTATAAATGTTTCACTTCAGTGGAGTACTCGGTTTCCTAGAGCTCTGTTTAATAATATCCAGCGTTTCACTGGTAAAACTTGAGAAATAAATGCTCATTCATCTGCACAATTGAAAAAAACAACCTGAAATTTTAAGGCATGTTAAATACTTCCTGAATTCATCTGTCAGTGTAAAAAAAACTAATCTGATGTGCCAAATTTTCCCAGCAGAGATCCAAGAAGCCAAGGCTCCCAGCCCTTCTATAAACAGGCAGGCTAGCATCGAGACAGATCGAGTATCCAAGGAATTCATAGAATTTCTCAAGACATATCATAAGCCCGGACAAGATATCTATAAGCAATGTAAACTATTTTTGGACACAATGAATCATAAAAGGGTAAGTTTTGCGTGCCTTTTACATAAATAAAATGGGGAAGTTAGGGAGAGATGGGGAAAATGCTGTGCTTCTTCCAGCAGTTTGGTGTTTATATATTGTGTACAGGAGTCTTCAGCTGATATGCTTAGTCAAATGAAGATCTAGTGTCAGTCTTACATTCAGAATGCCTCGCTTTTTGGTGTGGTATGTAACCAAAGAAACCCCACCAACCCCAGTATCTCAGGTATCTTGAGATAAATTTCCTTTGCATCCCAAATAAATTAGTTCTGAATAACTCCCACTTAAATTCGTCTGATGAACAAACAATTTTCTGGGTAAATGTGACTTGTGGAAATTATGATATATTACATAATGAGTTTTTAGATATCTTAAGTCTAAAAGGTTACAAAGATAATACAGTATCAACCCACACATCCCTTTTCTTTGGGGAAGAAGAACTTGACTGTGCTTTTTTTTTAAAATATGGAATAAGGGTTACATCTTCATTCTGCATAAAAAATAAATTAATGGTCTTGAAGTATTAGTGTGTCTGTAGTGCCACCTATGGTTGAAATAAATCAGTACTCAGCACACCTTCCCGCCCCTTCCCCTACCTATTTAGTATGTGGTTACTCAAATAATGTCCTCAAATTGGACTGGAAATTAAGGGGAGTTATGATGGAATCTCACATGCCCTGCACTTTGAGAACATCTTGAAGATTTTTTTTCTTTTTCCCCTTTTAGAACTGATTCATTCCGAGCAGAGTTTCTGAAAATAGTGTGGTGGTGTTATTGGTCATAAACACCGAAGATACTCTCATTTTCTAGTTCTTGATAGTTTGTGCTAGTGGAAAAAAAAAGTCTTTCTTAAAACAGTTTGCTACTACATGTAAACCAGGCCCAAAAGCTCTGCCCTCGGAGCTGAGATTTTGTGTTCAGGGTCACTGTCTGGTTTTTGGCCTTAAGGGATTCAGAAACTAAGTCCTCTCTCAATTTTTTTTTTTTTTTTTTTAATATATGGTTTTGTGTTGCCATTTAATAGTGAAAAGTGACTTGATTGGTAATGTTAATTTTAACCTTTCAAACCTCCATTATGTTCTTCAGTAATTCAGTTAGTTAATGCCCAAAAGACAATGTTGTTTCACAAATAACGTTGTGGATGCCTTTCATAGTAACTTTATCATTAGGTTTACTATATAGATACTCTTTCAAATTATGATTTATGTTCTTGGGTTTTTGATACACTGTGTATCGTAATTTATGAAGTTAGGGAGCAAGCATTCTGCTTAATAACCTACATTGTTTTGTCAGGGGTTGTGTCTGGGGAAAATGGCATTGCACCTGTCCAATTCCATTGCTAATATGCATCAGTTCAGCAAATAAACTTAAGTCTTTCACATGTTAAAGAGCCGGGATGTGTTGGTTTCTCATATTTTTGAATATAATTTAGCCAACATAAACACCTCTGACGATACATTTGCATTCTCAGACTGTTACAGCAGCTGGACGCTTTCCTTAAACAAAAACAAAACATCAGAGGTACTGCTGCCATTTCTTCCACACATGCACACTTAATCATTCTGTTACAGGACTTGAGTATTGAGGAGCAATCTGAATGTGCCCAGGACTTCTATCAAAATGTAGCAGAGAAATTACAGACGCGTTGGAAAGGTACTACGTTCCTGTTCCTCGTATCTTACTGCTGAAAAAGTAATGATTTAAGGATAAAGCATCTTGCATTTTCAAGTAAAACCAAAGCATTCCTAACCAGCATTTCCGTTCGGAAATGCTCTTAGCAAATCCTAGTACCACAGTGAGAACTATCCCCAGCAGCATCTGTTCTGTAAAGTTTTGCAGTCTAAATGATTTGGTTTTGCAAGTTTTTCTTAATCTCTCAATTAAATGTGGTTCAGTTGTTTTCATTTCTGGTTTTAAATTCAATACAGTTTGTCTAAAGCTGAAGTTGCACGTGTAGCCTCAGCCCAATTAATAACAGGCTGCGAGCCTTACGGTACGCTGTAATGCCCAAGCAGCCAGGGAGAGGGGAGTGTTTCTGTTGCAGACTGCTTTGGCGTGCCTGGCATGTAAGTGGCATTGCTTAAATGTACCCAGGGATTTTTTTTTTAGGCATAAACAGGAGCAGAGGACTTGGAAGACCTCACTGGATTTAGTCTCAAAGACTGTATTTTCAAGCACTATTCTTGTAAGCTACGAGCAGCTGAACCTAATTTGTGTGTTGAATGTGCTAAATGAATGTGCTTCATTGTGAACTGGCGCGTGTACTTACTTTGGCATGGCACTGTGGTGCTCTCACCGTGGTATTTTTGCTTCTGCTGTAGAGAGTGAAAATACTCTCAAGTGTATGCATTCTTTATTAACTCAGGTTGGCTGATACAAAACTGTATTAAATCTTCAAAAGAGCCACAGAATATTTTATTCATTGTATTGGGATTTGTACCTTTCAGTGCCCCCTGAAAAAGTTGAAAAAGCAATGGATCAGATTGAAAAATACATTATGACTCGACAGTACAAATATGTCTTTTGCCCTGAAACAACTGATGATGAGAAGAAAGATCTTGCTGTCCAAAAGAGAATTAGGTAAGTCTTTAGAAGAAAAACAGTTGAGTAATCCACAGTCCTGTAAATGAGCTCTGAATCAAGCATATTAAAAGTCTTTTGCTGTGCACACAAAACCAGCAAGCTTTTTAACCAGAAAGGGTTAAAAACGCTATTTAAGAGGAAACAGAAGGAATGAATAGAATGAATAATGAAAGCTACTACAGTAGGAAAACTAATTGGTTTGCTTTTGTTAAATTATAGCAAAAAAAAAGTAAGTATTTTTTCTGGAAATAAATTACTTCAGTGGAATAAATTAGCTAATGACTGGACTAGTACCTCATTTACACAAAGCACTCCTTGTGCCTTGAATTCAAGAAGCAGCTGGTTTCAAACACCTGAATGTTACTGGCACAGAACAGTTTAACTTTTTTTTTTTTCCTTGTCATAGGGCTTTGCACTGGGTAACTCCCCAAATGCTGTGTGTTCCTGTCAATGAAGAAATTCCAGAAGTCTCTGATATGGTTGTAAAAGCAATTACAGGTTTGTGAATGATGAAGTTTACATTTACAGCTTTAAATTTCATCTCTCTTGCACACAGAGATATTTTCTGCTGTCATCAGAAGGAGGTCCAGGCTTTTAGACTTGCAGTAGTTTTTGCGGTATTGGACTAGTGTATCATGTGTGAAGGGGGAGTCATTTTTCTATCACAGAAGTGTTTAGGCTTACCTGATCTATTTGAAATACTTGGATTGAACCAGGAGAAGGCTGTGGAACAGCAAGCACCACAGATAAAAATGATGCAATGTTAGTATTGTCCAGTAAGTGCCCTACTCGTTCAGGTGCCTGATTAATATGGTTTTAATGATTTGAGGACTTTTTTATCTTACAGATATTATTGAAATGGATTCAAAGCGTGTCCCTCGTGATAAACTAGCATGCATCACCAAGTGCAGCAAGCATATATTTAATGCTATTAAAATCACAAAAAATGAACCAGCTTCTGCTGATGACTTTCTTCCAACGCTCATATACATTGTTTTGAAGGGAAACCCACCCCGTCTGCAGTCTAACATCCAGTATATAACACGCTTCTGTAATCCAAGCAGGTTAATGACAGGAGAAGACGGCTACTACTTTACCAATCTGGTAAGTGCAGGAATAGCGTCGTTGTTTTATACAAGAAGATTGTCTCTTATTTGGGTGTAGGAATTTCCAGTAAAGGCAAACACAGCATAACATAGAAGGAAAATGAAAACTAATCTTTATTTGGCAAATAGTGGTTGAGGTTACTTGGAGTACAGCAAGCGCTTCTGCTTTAGATCTCCTCTCTCTTCCTTCTCTGCTCTCCAAACCAGACAGTGCTTTGCTTTCTTGATAATATTAAACCGTTTATTTGAACAGTCTCATGCGAAGACTTGGGTGTATTTTTATTCTGCAAGGAGATAAATGCTTTCTAGTACTTTCTATTCCTAAAATCCTGTTTGGACTGTGCAGATGTTACAGATGCAAAGTTCCCCATTGAAGCCCGTGAGAGTTTCTCTCTTGAAGGGGCTGCAGAACTAGGCCACTAATGTGTGGAGGTAAACAGGCTTTTTAAAGCTTCTGCAAGAGGCATTTATTGGTGTGCTCATTTATATTAGAAGGAATTATGATTATGAACTTGGCTTCTCTGCATTTCATTGTAAAGCAATTCTCGAGGGGGAAATACTTACTGGGAAGAAATACTTGGACTGTTAAAAATTCCTTTCAGTAGGAGGAGAGCACCCAGAAGGTAAGACGGGCATTTGACGTGCCTTCCTTCAGAAAAGGAATAGAGAGCATAGAAGATCTCTGCTGATCAGATTATTAGATATTAACATAGTGCTCTTGTCTGGTTGTCACGTTCTTTCTGTTCTCTCGCCTCCCAAATGCAGTGGCCTGTACTGTGTGTTATCCAGGGAGTCAGTGCTGTGCAGCTGAAGTGGTGTCTTCCTGGATTGTCCTCTGAGTTTTTGACTTCTTCAGACTTTGGGGAGAGGAAAGAAGCATATGAACTGTCTGATAGAGTTAGCTTCTGGAAACGCTCTTTAGGAGCGATCTGAGGCATTAAATAAAATAATCAGTTACTGGTCTAACAGGAGGAGAAAACCGAGAACGCGTACATTCCAATCTGTAGCTTGCGGTGATACTCGCTCTCTGTTTTGTTTGTAGTGCTGTGCTGTGGCCTTCATTGAAAAACTGGATGCTCAGTCTCTAAATCTAAGCCAAGAAGATTTTGATCGTTTTATGACTGGTCAGACATCCCCGAAGAAGCAAGAATCTGACAGTTTTTCACCTGATGTGTGCCTGGGTGTTAAGCAAATGTATAAAAACTTAGACCTCCTGTCTCAGTTGAACGAGAGACAGGAAAGAATTGTCAGTGAAGCCAAGAAGCTTGAGAAAGACCTAATAGATTGGACTGACGGAATTACAAAGGAAGTCCAAGATATTGTTGAGAAATATCCATTAGAAATAAAACCAAAAAATCAAGCCTTAGCAGCTATTGACTCTGAAAATGTGGAGAATGACAAGCTGCCCCCGCCACTGCAGCCTCAGGTTTATGCAGGATAATTATCAGTGTTAACGCTGCAAAGCATCATTAACCTCACCTAGTGCTATCTGCTACTTGGGAAGGGAAGTAAATTTAAGGCTAAAACTCAAACGAGCTTAAATCAGTACATTTTTAAAGGTACCTTTTTTTTGGTGAAGTGTAATGAATTGTATTTATTTCAGTCAAGTAGATTTCTATTAGGCTTTTGTGGGTTTTTGAAATGAATTTAAATTTTCTACACAAACTGGTGTAATTTTTAAGCAACACTAGTCCATTGACATTTTTCCTGAAAGCTTCCTTCTAGGCATGCACTTACTTGTTTTTAATAATTAGTTTAACTTGAATTCGAGTTCCAGCAGAAATTCGAAAGGTACCAATGTTAGTCTGAGTTTATTCTGTAGCTGTAAAGATGAAATATATATTGTAAAATATGTAAAATTGTAAATAGATTTAAAATCTCATGTCCTAACTGTGCATGGCATCTTGTTATGAGTGAAAATGATTAAAAAAAAAAAAAAGTGTTCATTTTACCACCTTTCAGTTAAATCATGTTGCAGTATAAAGGCAAGTACACTGTTAATGTTTTGATAAGCTAGATGGTATAACTGATGAAGTGCGGTCTGGATATTGTTGTAATGATTTGAAACTTTGACACTCATCTTGAAATCGACCCTGTAAAAAAAAAAAAGTGCTATCTAAAATATGACCTTTTTTCATGTAAACGTCCTCTCTGCTTTGTCAGTACACCTGATAGCCTTCAGTGGCACACATAGGTGCTGATACTAGTAATTTTGAAGAGAATGGTGAGCCAGGCTTCAGAAATAGGAAGAAATATTTGCATTAAAAATCACTTAATGTGGAACAAAAAGGGGGAGGGGAGGAGATTAGCACATGAGTTGCACCAGAAGTGGCTTTCTTTTCTGGCTTTGCCTAGTAATTTCCATCAGTGGGCTAGGTCTTGCTTGCTTTTTTGACAATCCTGGTAGATAAATAAGTTAATATTAGAGGCTGCTTTTCAGTAGAAGCATGAGCCCTTGCTCTGAGCAGAAAAGTGCACTTTATTTTCACGAAACATCAGTCTTCTGATCTTCAAGTGACCCTCTTTAGCAAAGGGCCTTGCCTTGCTAAAGCATTGAACATCAAGTTGAATGTGGCTTTATGCCACTAAAAGTTTAGATCGTTATATTTGAAGTTAAGAATAATAGCTCACACTGCAAAAAGTAACCTCTTGCAATATAACTTTTTTTTTATGCCAGTGAAACATTTTATATATAATTTTAAATATCTTCCAGTTGATCCAGTCTGCCATGACTTGTTTGTGTACCTGAGATATCTAACATAAAGCTACTTAGCTTCAACTACTTTTAAGCAATGTTAAATTCTTACCATCAAGGAGGAGAGTACCTACCTCTTTATTATGTTCCACTGCTTTAAAAACATTGCTGTTTTAAATTTGCACTGCAATAATTTCAGACCACAACTGTGATTTGTCCCTTTTTGTCAAATGTATTTCGCCTTATGAACTATGCATCCCTAGTGTTTCAGAGAGAACCAGTTACCCACAACTCCACTGCTGAGGTGAAGCAATGAGCTAATCGGATGGTCACGAGAAAGTACATTAGTTAATGTATCCGTGTATCACTGTGCCCAAATTGCTTAGGATCTGACCAGCGCTTGCAGTAAATAATAATGTAAAGTCTTTATTTTCTTTACAAACACTAGGTGCTAATTCTGATATCCAGGTACACAGGTTTTCCTGGGGGCAGGGGGCAGGAAGAAAACTTCTAGCTATTGTGTAAATTGCCGTGTTTAAATAAAAGTATGTACATTATGACCTTGTTAATGAGTTCCTAAAGATCTCGTCACTGGGTTTTGTTACGCTGTTAATGATTACTGTGAATATGATTGGGACTGTTTCTGCAGCCTCTGTGTTTTGGGAGACACGATTCTTAGCCATTGAGTGCAAGTTTAGGTAACAATGTCTTTTTCTTTGCAGAAAGATCATTGTAGTGACTAAGTACTTAAGAACGACTTGCTGGTGCTTACTAAAGTATCTCTCATTCATATGCCATCTTGTTATCAGGCCACTAAAGTGGGAGTGTTTACAGCAAACAAATCCTCCGAATCCCCCCCATAAGGCAGGTAAGATGGATTTCCATACCCCATCTAAAAGTTAGCAAGCAGGAGTGGTTTGCTCCTGGACAGAGTATAGCCTGGGTAGTAACAACGCTGGGAGCAGCTCTCGCTGAACTTGCATTCTAGTGTTTGAGTAACTAGACTGCTTTAAGACCTTCTCCACATTTTATTAGGCAAATGACCTGTCTGTAGGTAAAGCAGGTAAATAGTTTTGCCTTGCTGAAAGGCAAGGTAGTGATAACTGCGGAGTATCTTTCCAGTGATTAAAAATGCAGACTGGGCAATCCGTCATGCACAGGGTGCTGCTCACTGAGCTGGGAAGATGCTGGGTCAGTTCTGGGCTCAGCATGAGCGGGTGAACCCTCTGGTAAGCAGTACCAGATCGGCTTGGTACTGGGCATTGCGCTAGTATAGAGATGCTCTGGTCCCACAGGCAAGTTTGGGATAAGATACAGGGAGAGACCGCAGTGATCCGGAAAGTTATTAAATAGGATCTATGAAGAGGTTACTTGTGAACCAGAGAGTTTTGTTGGAATGCTGGCTTAAAGGGAATTGGAATGCAGGCTGCTGTGCTTTGGTGACAGTCACAGTATCAGAAATGATCTTGTTTTGTCAACAGCCCACTGCCAGTTCAGTATTACTGAAAATGAAGACTGTGCAGCTCATTACTAGGAATCGGAACTTACGTGGTGAACTACTTCTTTGCATGTGAACTCCCTATTTATTTTGCTGTAGTAAAGGAGATATTTTACAGGACGTACTGGTTAATTACACTGTACAATGTTTTCACATAACTGAGTTATGAAATTAAATTGATTCTTCTACCCAGTTATCAATGTTGACAAGTTCTCTGGTGTATATTCTCTTGTGGCTGGGTATCTCTTGCTTGAGGTAGGGCGGCACAGACAGATGGTGATACATATCGGTAGTGCTATTTAATGGCAATTAAATATATGCTATAGTGGCTGCAACAGAAAACAAAATGGTTTGATACTTCATCTAGGTATCCAGGAGGAGTTAATGGGTTTCCTTTATCTACAGCCACCATCCTTCTGTCGAGAGATGTGTACAGAACTAGTGTGTATGACTTTAATTGTCCGAGAGGCTTGCCAGGTGTGCATCAGGAATACTACCTCCTGCCTTCCAAAAGCCTCGCTCAAGGAGAGTCATTAACTAAGGAGAGTAATTCAGCACAGTCCTTAAGATGCCTTGAAGACAGAGGGTGATTTCTGACCTTCCTGATCTTCTGGAAAGGTAGCTTTTGCCTTTCCAAAGTACCGCAACTATTGCAAATACCGATGGCCGCTTTCCTTCCACCTTGTCAGACTGCTGCTGCGGCAGCCAGGGGTAGGCAGGGTTGGGATGGAGTAACTGGCTAAAACAGCTCGGCAATGCTGGAGGGCTGGGAGTGCTGTCACCTTCTGCTGGCTCACGGCCATTGCCACACCGAAGGCCCTGGCTCTCTTCTCTACACCCTCGGGTGTTTACACAGAGATTGGTAAGATCCCCCTGAGCCTTCTCTGTTCCAGGGCAAGCCCCCATCCCTCCATCATCTGCCTTGCCCTTTCCTAGGTTTGCTCAAGCACGTTCTTCCTCTATATTCTCCTCTCTTGGACGTCGTTATAATTAAAATGTTAATTCCTCTCGTTCCTTCCGTTAAGTCAGCCGCTTTAATCTTCAACACCGTTAGGTATTGGACACCTTTTATTAAAAACAAACAAAAAAAAAAAGTTGTTTTGGATAGTTTTTAGTGGAAAAGGGGGGGAAATGTCGGCACTTGCAAGGGGAGCAGGGG